TTTTTTTTTCAAAGGAGGCAGGGGACCTTTACACTGCACACGCCGAGGGTTAACGACGACAATTTGTTATGACCTGTCTTTTCACACACACACCACACACACCACACACACACACACACACACACACACACACACACACACACACCACACACACACCACACACACACACACACACACACACACACAACACACACACACACACACACGCGCGTCAGCACACATGTATAAGTCCCGTACACTCCAAGACCGTTTTCTTAACATGGACTTTTCGGTCATGTTTCTTTTACTTAATGTGTAAACTTTTCTTATGTGCTTATTAACTTGCCTACTTCACTACTCTCTTCCCTCTCTCCTTCCCTCCTTCCCAACACACTCCTACTTCCCTACTCTCTCACCTTTACTTCCCTACACCCTTAACTTATCTACTTATTCGTTCTCTATTCACCCGCCCTACAAACCGGCCTACATTTATTCTCGAAACCCGGTCACAAAATCTCTACCCCAACTTCAAATTGGTTTATTGAAAAATAAAAGCTATGTGTTATTCTTCTTGTGTCGACCATTCTCGTTCTCTGGTTTATTTTCTTAAAGTAAAGTTATACATTTCACTACCTTTTTCCAGTCCTTTCGTTTGACAAAACACCAATTGGCGACGTCCGAAGAGATTTGAGACGAGCAGACATTGTTACTTTCATAAAACTGGCGAACGTCGGTGAGGATTTTACAGAAGGAACTTTTCTCTACCGGTCTTTCCACTTTCAGTAAACAAAATTTTCACAAAAATGCGTGGTTGTCTTTTTCAGGTTTTTTCTACTGAGGCTTTTACAAATTTCCGATTACGCAAAAAGTATGAAGGGAATTTGATCAAAAGACGACACACTCACTCTACGGTACCGAGATGTGATTTGGTAGGGAGTATAAATAGTGTGTCTAAGAGGTGGAGACTAGGTTGAGGAAACTTCGTCTGCTTTCTCGACCTGTCTCGGGGAAGACAATATTGGCAAACGAAACTTCGTCTACAGTGGTTTATAACTGTTTTTCTTTTGGTTTCGAAAACTTCCTGAAACTGCCGGGTCCCCCTTAAGTAATGTCAGGCTTCTGCCTTACTGAGGCTTAAAAGACAAAGTTCTGCCACTGACTCTTTCTGACTCTCACATTAAAGCTGAAGGTGTTGCAATCCACACACACACACACACACACACACACACACACACACACACACACACACACACACACACACACACACACACACACACACACACACACACACACACACACACACACACACACACTCCAGTATTTTGATATTTTTAGCATGTGGGCTTCTACTTTAAAAAGGAAGCGCCTGAAGTTCCTATCAGGATACTGGAAATTGAAATGTTCACTCTCATTCTCCCTCATCTCACTTCACTGAGTGAGAGGTGCAGAAGTTCATGGTGCCCAGTTACAATGCAGTTTAATCAATGACTGCACTCCACATTAATCTCAGCTAATGTCAGAGAGGCTGGCAATAAAATATGTATAACGCACCTCGCTGGCGTGTGGACGAAAAGAGATATCATTCTCATATCATGGAAATAGTGTTTTGATGAGGAGTAGCAAATGTTTTGAGAAAGATCATCGGCAATGCCTTAGGCAAGCAAACATAACAGCTTTTGTATTTGGTCCCCTGTGATGTCAATCTCTTGGGTGAAGACAGACCGAAACAATCTCATCGGGTTGATACCAACTCTTGCTTCTTGTATGCTCGCAGGGTGTTTTTTGTTTGCTTGAATAATTCAGGAATATTTCCTCCTCATCTCCCTTTCAATGTAATCAAGCCAGGCTGTAATTATATCCTTCGGAGGACCTTTCAACATACCTTCTAGGCACTTATTGGGAATTTGCATTTGTAATTGCTCTCTTCCCGCCGTGCTCTGCTGATTTGCAGAATGGCAATAAACAAAACATGTCTTCTAGTGCTTCCTACAGGGAATCAATGGGGAATCGTTCTTTTAATCATAAGATAGCTTGATTGGAAAAAAGGCGTTTAGTTTTCGAGCTCAGAACCTCGGCCACCCCGAGCATCAGTTCAGGTTTGGTCCCCACAAAAACCAATAATCCATCTATCAGCAGCCATTTGTCATGTTGAAATGTCCTTGAGCAAGACCAATGAACCTTCCCCTGCTCACTGAGAGCTTCCCTCAGGGCGTCCGCTCCTTATGTGACCCGTACCTTAACGGCCACACATTTAGAATCTAAGTCAGTCAAGTTAATGTGCAGGAGAGAATATCGACCGAGACATTATTGTCACGGTGATCGGCCTTTAAGAGATGTAAATGGACAATTACTGTTAAAAAGTGTCACTTTAAAACAATCCAACACAGGAAAGTGTGTCTTTGAAGCCAAGTAATAAATAAAGACATTATCAGCAAACAGTCTAGTGCAGGGGTGTCAAACTCAATTTCATCGCGGGCCACATTCGCATAAAGGTTGCACTCAAAGGGCCGGTTGTAACTAAATAAATATATAATATATATATAAAATAATGTATTATATTACATGATTGCCTCTGAATTGGATTATTATCGGATAGGATAATAACTTAGTAATTAACTACGTCTGAAAGCAGAAGTCCACGGCAAATAATTGCAAGTCTCTTTAGTGCGCATGTCACAAAACGAGATGCATTGTGGGACATGTAGTTTATGGACAACCTGCTTCTGTAAAGCGGCATGTAACCGTATAATAAACGTATTATATTCTTTGCAAGCTCTTGCGGGGCCACATAAAATGAAGTCGCGGGCCGGATTTGGCCCCCGGGCCTTGAGTTTGACACCCCTGGTCTAGTGCAACTGTAATACTAAATATGCCATCAATGGGCACAGTAGAGACGATTTGAATTCGGAACAAACCAGAGATGGGTGATGAGAACCAGGTGTTTGTGGTCTTCAATAATTCATAAGAGATGATTCAGCAATATCTCATACTATCATTCACTTCAAGGAACAACAAGGTCCCTTTAGCCCATTTGTGTATGTGTTAACACCCCAATCTGTATATTAGACTATATAATATTAGCCCGCTGATGTATGATTTGCAAATGGCTGTTATTCACTCAAGGCAACCCGCCAGCAGCTCCATTACATCTCCAAAAACGAGGCAAACATTTTCAAACAAGCATTCATTGGATTAACTGACTACAGTACATATTGGCATTCTTAATTGGTACTTTGTAACCAAAAGACACAATAAAGTGATGAATTAATAGCTTTCATCTCTTCTTATAATGTCTCTGAGGGCCAGGCTGGTCTCAGTGCACTTCGCCAGCAGCTGCAAATAGTAAACCCAGTGGTTGACGGCATACTCGACCAATCAGATTTGATCAGTGCTGAAAGTGCCCTAAGTTCCTCAACTTTTAGGAAGTACTACCCACCAACCAGGGAATTTTAGGGGCGTAAAAAATTAGGATGTACGCATTTAAGAAAACAAAAAATGTAATTGTTTTTTTTTTGTTAGCCTATGGGCATCATTGTTCTTGCACCCTATAACAATTGAATACTGCACACGCTCAACTTCAGAAGAATATGACCTGAAAGTTTGACTTTTAAATTGGAAGTACAACCACATAAGCGGGATAAGTTTAGTGTACATCCTCCAAAACATAAAGGATATATAGAGAGCTATGCTACACACTGAATAAATCATTTTGTAGCTCTTACAAGAGAAATGCAAATGTAAAAACTACAGCGTAAATTCGTCCTTGTAGATATTATGATTTGCTCCTTCAAGAAAAATCACTTTTCATGAAAATGTGAGAAAGGCAAAAAGAAGCCATGTGTTGTTGCTCAACAAGCACGTCCTCTTTGGAAACAACAAACCAAGTATTTCATTGGATTTTGTCCATTATCATCTGTTCTTTTTCATCTCCCCCTTCTCTGTATAGCTTTTTGGAAATAAAAAGCATTCAATTACTTCAAGGTCAATTTCTCTCCACGGCAGGCTGTGTTGGAGCGAGAGGACGGGCTGCTAACCGCCGGGTGATGTGTGGTTTATGGATGACTTCTTCTGGGGCTCCCGGGGAGTCTGTGTCTAAGTGTAGCTCCTTAAGGGTCGAATTAGCCCCCCTGATCCACTAATCAATTTGGGGGAGAAAATTAACACAAGTGACATTATACATACTCCAAACTCATTTCAAACTGAACCTGCAGGTCTGAAGGTTGTGAATGATGTCTTCCTCCAAGAAATATGCTGTTGTGGTGAATTTACCCTTTCGTAACCGTGGTAATTCATCATATAAAGATATATGTGCATGTCAGGTCACTTATCGCAACCTGCGGCAAATTCAACCCGGGTACAGGAGTGTGTGAACGTCGTCTCTGACCTGTATAAATCATATCCTCTGGCATATTTAAAGTATCATCGTGCCATAATGAAATATTCAAATGTGGCCTGCTTCTAGCGCGAGGGAGCAGGTAAGTCTGTAATGATGACATAAGGGCCTGGGAGGAATAAATGGGATTCATAGGAAATGAATCAGAGTCTCCAGGAGTCTAGGTGTGACAGATGAGGCCAGAAAGTGGGTCAGAACCACAGGTTGGTTGGTTGGCTGCACAACTGGGTCGAGACACAACGCCCCGGGCATGGAGGGAGACTCCGTGCTCTGCAAAAAAATGCGCTTTCTACACCGTTTCCCTTCAAAATCATCATTTTTTTCTTTTAAATCAGAAGAAGAATGAAAACACAGTGACACTGCATCTTTAAAAAGTTTTAAGTTTTTTTGAGTTCTTAAATGTCCCCTATTATACTGTTTTTCATCAATATATTATAGGTCTCAGATATATACGGAACATGTCTCTGATTGGCTGAAACACCAAACAGATCATTGCAGCATTACCCATAATCCCCTCTGTTTCAGCCCTGTTTCCAAAGTGCTGATTCTCTGTCTGTTACTTTAGATGAAAATAAGGAGCCCCTCCCCACGCCCCTCTGAGAGAGATTTGATTACAAAGAACATAATGGTGCTCTAGGAGGAGATTCAGGTGATAAGTTGGGGGGGGGTTACCTTGGTTGGTGATTGGCTAATGGTTACACAAGACAACACATCGTTATGACATCATAAAGTTGCCAAAATCTGATCAGCTCATTTTCAGACAGGTTTTTATAGAAATGGATCAGGACAAAAAGAGACAGAGAATCTTTGTTCCTGAATCTTTCAGAGTCTCTTTACACAGAGGGGAAACATGTTGATGTATTAAATATATGAAAAAGTGGATTTTGCATAATAGGTGACCTTTAAGGGCACATTTTAAGACACCATAGGACACTATACAGTTTAATAAATATATATAAACATGGAGGAAAAATGAAAGGAGACACAAATGACGGGGACAGGACATTCAGGGGAAACAGATGATGGTACAGTGAGTAGGCTAATTTATGCATGTAAAGAATGACTGAAAAACACTTCAGTGATCGACTTGATACGACCTTTGACAAAGTCTAGACGTGGGGTGAAAGACAGTGAACTATGACACTGCTAAATATTTGAAGAAAACAGAATCGAGCTTCATATAGATACTGAAGGTTATTTACTTCCTGTTTATTGACATATGTTGTAAAGACAAAATAAGTCATGTTGAAACATTGGAAGTTTGTGTCGAGGACATTTAACATCATATGAGAACAAGTAACCTCATTCTAGCGTTTTGTTTTGCGTGTGATAGCTCGGCTGTTTGCTCTTTATAAAAAATTGCCCCCAATACCCAGTCACTGATTATTGTGAGATGTTTATACTCTAGAATAATACTGGAGTTAAATTCACAACATGTGCAGATTTGGTAGTGCAGCTTGACCAGACTATTTACATAAAGTTCACTTCCCGATGCAGTATGTTCTTGTTTTTTTGGTTCACAGCATAAAACCTCCTTTTTTTGTTTACTGGGTGCTGTTTTTCTGCTGATCTAAGCTCCAGCTGCGATGAGGAAACACTATCTTCCCAAATGCTTCTGCCAGGGAAGGACTGATACTAAACCCCTGGGGCTGATAACAATATTTAGGAAAGGAAGAAAAATGGTTATCCATTTTTCAAAGATATGGTTATGCAATGATTACTTAGATATACAAAGAACAGCAATGTGATTAAGGTACATTAGGGACAGGACATTTTACAGCTGGACTAGATCAACCTTTACACGGTGAAAAGCCTTTATACATAGGTTTGTTGGAAAGGAGGCACTTCATTGATTATGTTAAGGATCTAAATGTATCTAATGTTCAAGAGGATTACTAGATGCATGCGTGTCCCTTTTCTGCATAATGTTTTCAGAATATTAGCTTGTATTATACAGATGGAGCATGTTAGTTGTGTTTTATTTTATATTTGTATTGTTATAATAAAAACCTTGTGGAAAATAAAAACTTTGTTGGAAACAAAATAATTTCAAACATGAGTAAAACAAAAGTAGAAACAACAAATCTATATCCAATAGACCAGGGGTGCCCAACCTTTTTTGAACCGAGAGCTACTTTTAAAGTTGCCAGTCTGCCGAGATCTACCAGTCCAAATAGAGAGGCGTTGCCATTACTGATAGCCTACTACCAGGTAAATACACACTTCTACTTATATAAAACTGAGTAGTGTTGCTACAAAAGTATAAATTAGGCTTACTAATATAAGACAACTGAGATCTGAAGCTACACAGGAATCTGCTGCCAAAGTGCAATAAAAAAGACAAAATTAATAGAATCAAACCCTTTTTTTGTTACATTTAGTAGAATAGAGTATACAAATAAATGCCTTTTAAAAAATAGGATGCAAGCAACACTAGTTTCTTAACCTGAATTGATAATAGACTATAATCTTTATCTTATACCATTTTGTACAATAATTATAATGAATAAGTTCAAACAAACTAAAACTTACAGCTGATTAATAACGGTATCTAACTTGAGTTTTTATTATATCAAAAACCTGTTGAAATGCTACTGTTATTTTTACTGTCCCCAAAAAGCGCGTAGGGAGCCTCCAGGAATGCTTCTTTCACAACTTCGCCGTCATTGAAAGACTCGGGCCCGGCACCACGAGGGGGCAAAAGGGGGCATTGCCCCCTAAGTAGTCTTATTTGCCCCCTCACTTTGAGGCCCCCTCGTGGTGCCGGGCCCGAGTCTTTCAATGACGGCGAAGTTGTGANCACATACATACATACATACACACACACACACACACACACACACATACATACATACATACATACATACATACATACATACATACATACATACATAACGTAAACCAATTTATAGAATAAAACATCGGCATCAAATCAATGGTTTTTGTGCAGGATTTAAATCATACAAGTTTACGTTTGCTCCAGTTTTGAAAGCCTTCATGTCTCTTCACATCTCCTCATATTTCCCCACATCCTGTCTCCCCCTCTCTGCTACCTCACCCATCTTTCCTCCACCTTTAACCAGGGCTTTATCTAATGCATTGATTACACAGACTGCGTTTCAAAGAGCAGATAATAGGAACGGAGGGAGACGCTTGTTTTCAGCTCCTTCCTCGTATAGCTGCTTGCAACCTGCTCGCCTTCTCTCCTGCAGCGGGTTCATATAAACAGACAAATAAATGGCGGGCAATAGCAGGGCTCAGAGGATTGGGTTTGATTGACAGCCCAGGGGATTTGTGTGAGGGGTGTGTTAGGCGTTTAATTGCACCCCAAAGGCCTCTTGGGAGTAAAATCCTTCATGCAGCAACAGAAAGGAGAGAAGACACCGTTGTCAAGTATATTTATAATTGCCTTACATCATCTTCACCACAGTTAGAGATGTTATTCCAGATGAAGATGTATTTTCATTTACAGCATCCTCCATGTGCACCGTTTGGTTGTATTGATGACTGCTTATCCAGTTGCTCTGAATGATAATCTGTGTTGTCATGTGTTGTCTCCTTTGTTTACTAACCATGCTCAAGCCTTTTTTCCCTTTCTCTTCCCCTCCAGAGGGTACATGTACGCAGGCCTGGAGTTCGGAGCGGAGTGCTACTGCGGTCACAAGATCCAGGCTCCCAATGTTTCGGACAGCGAATGCAATATGGAGTGTAAAGGAGAGAAGAGCAACCTGTGCGGAGGAGCCAACCGACTGTCCATCTACAGGCTGGAGCTGAGCCAGGAGTCTGCGCGCCGCTGTGAGTGTGACTCTGCGACAACTACACACACACCTGAGTCTGTCAAATACACAAAAGAGAGCAATGTGAAAATTAATACATTTGTTGACAACATTCTTATGAATTGATGGCCATGGGCTTAGAATGAGCATTCCTGAGGTGACCGACAGCGAGGCACAGAGAAGCTATTTGATTTAGAAATACAAAAGCCCCGCTGTTTGTCAGGGAAATATTTGTTTTATTTTGGGTTGAAGCCAGAGATGGGAGCCTGCTGCTCTGTTGTGTTCACCCCTTTCCCCGGAGCACCGTGCTACCTACGTATCACAGCCAGTCCCGGTCCCATCCCAAACACTGACTGCTGCTAGAGAACTGAAGATGAGTGATACAAAAAAAATTTGAGTTGAGGTAGATTGTTTTAAATTAAAAACAAACGAATTCCCGTCCACAGTGTGAAGTAACTTTGGACAACCGTCCTCCATCTCTTTGCTCTTCCTTACCTTCTCTTACCTTCTGCTTCTTAGAAATAATCTGGTAATGTAGCATACACATTTATGACTAATATTTAAACATCTAAATGCTCTGGCTCGTCCAGTTCAGTGCTGTTTGTTTGTTATTCTTTTCATTTCTGCTTTTTTCCCTCGAGGTTTGCCTTCAGACTGCTGAATAGGCTATTCGTGTTTTTGTTTCACCTCTGACCCGGATTTCTGTCATGTGAACATCAGAGAGGAAATGCTGGCAATGTGTTAATGTTTTTTGTGGTTTTTCACCCTTAGGGACCATAATGGTCACTTGGTTTATTGTTTTCAGCCAAATGTAATCCTACAAAGATAATATTATACATTTGCTTCATTGTCACACAGCCCATCTGCAATTCATCATGGTTATGTTCTTCTACATTTCAATCAGCCACGTGTGTACATCCAATATCTAATTATGTTGCCCAAGAAATGTTTGGAGGCTGCTTGTGTGTCAGGCTAGTCAACAGAGCACAAAACAGCATCTCAAGATGATTTAATAAGCTCCGCCATATGGGAGGGCAAAGAAGGGCCGAACAGAAAGAGGTTGCAGTGAAGGCATACTGCAGGGAAACAAAGAGCAAGGACATTAAAAATGCAACTTTAAGCCAGGGAAAAAGGTCAAAAATAAATAAAACATTAGATAAGAACACATGGCTGGAGCTAATTTGCGAGGGGTGTTACCTTGTGTTAAAGCCTCTCAGCACAGATGGCTAATACTAGCAGTCTTGGGAAGGTGCAGGTTTTTGTTAGCATAAAATTAAGTAGCGAGAATTTCCGCCGACGCAAAGCTCCTTGTGCATATTTTATTTAGCTGCGTTTTAGCAAGCAGGCTGTCTTCGTCATGGTAAGGCACGGCAAAAAGCTTTTAGTGTGTGGTTTCCCTCCTCTGTTATAAATGCACAAGCCTCTTGACAGCAGAGAAAGCTTTATATGTACATCAGCACATAAGCCGTGTCGACAGGCTGAAATAAATGTGAAATGGATGTTTGGATTTACTTTCGCATTGACAGCATTTTTCAAGTTTTGCAGCTTTCTGTCACAGGCTGCAGATGATAAATGCTTCAATGCTGATTTTACCACTTGTTTTTGTTGAGAATTTGCATTGAAAAATAGCAGTAAAACAACATTTGACTTCCAAACTACTTACTTCCTGCTAAAGAAGGAAGCATCTCTTCTCTGCTGTTGTCTATCCATCATAGGAGAGTGAGTATCTCAGATTAAAGGTCATAAACACACTGCAGGGAAGTGAGCGCTGCTATTGGCCGATGTGCTGGCAGGTCAGGGTCCCAGCAGAGTGGAGGGAGTCCCAGTGGGATCCCTCCATGTGGGGTCAGTGAATAGAGGCCAAGCTGCAGAAGCTGTGCTCAGTAACCATAAAACTGGAGTACTTTGAGTTTGTTCCCCTCCTATTGGTGTATGACATTTGTTTGTTCTGTGTGTTTCAGATGGCAGCTCCATTTTTAAGGGGTGTTTTCACAGGCCGGACAATGTCACTCTGGCACTTCCCATCAGCGCAGTCATCCAAAACATGTCTGTGGACAAATGTGTGGACATGTGCACGGAGAGGGTGAGGGAGTTTACGTGATGTGTGCATCCATGCGTTGTCATTTACACATGAGTGTGTTTTCAGTGTTTTAATGGCAGCTGTATTTCAGGAGAAAACGCTGGCCGTCCTGGGGGGTGATCGATGTCACTGCGGCTTTCCGACCCCTCTCTTCTCGCTTCATGAGCCTGAGGACGAGAGTCTGTGTCTCCACCACTGCCTCGGGGAAGAATTTGAGACCTGTGGGAATGAAGAGTACTTTGTGGTGTACCAGACGCAGGTTCAAGGTAACATATGGTGTCTCAAAGGCCTATATAAAGGGCCCATAGGACAAAGAGACATGTCAGGATGCATCATCAATTAATTATTTATCTAATATATCATATTCCAATTACTTGTAGACTCTTATTCCACTATTTCTATTCTATTTTATTTGTTTTTATTTGTAATGACTTGCACTATTTTAGCTGTTTTTATTGTGTTGCACTGATTTTCATCGATATAACTACACTGTAGCTATGTACGAATTACAATAAAAGCCTTGAATCTTGAATCAGCCACACCCTGCGGGCAGGAGATACAAACAACGACCCTAAAGTAATGTTACACGTGTGAAAGTGCTGAGTTCTTAAAGTCCAGCAAAACTCTGACCCTACCCATGTTTGCCATTTTTTTTTCTTTGACCCCTGTGTGTACTAGAGTCGGTATACATCTATATATCATCTATATTATATTTGTAAGAAATGGACATACACATTTCTGTCTATTGCAGGGGTGCCCAACCAGTCGATCGCGGGAGATTCCCAGTCGATCGCGATATTGTCTAAAAATAGAACAACAATATTCTGTTTTATCGTTAATGTCCTATAACATAATCTTCCTGTGCCAGAATAATGCACTTGAACGCATTAAAGCTTTGTGATTGGCCGGCATGACCCCATGTGTCGGGGCCTGGCTGGTGGGCAGTGGGCACTATTTTGCTGACATTGTCCGTGTCATCAACAGGAGTGACCAGTCCGCACGCACACAGACCGCAATTATGGCTGCAAAGCAAAAAGCCCAAAATATATCATTTTCACTCCGAGTGGGAGGATGATTATTTTTGTATCTATTCCAATTCAAAGTCCAGCTGTCTCTCATCTGCAATGCGAGCGTGACTTTATCGAAGAAGGGTAATTTAGGAGCGGCATTTCAAAACAGTGCACAAACGCTACGAGACGGAATTCCCTCCTAATTCTGCCCTACGCTCCCAAAAGGGGAGGGACCTGAAAGGAAAGCTAAATGCACAGCAGTCCATTTTCACCAGGCCCAACAACAAGAGCAAGGCTGCTACCATAGCATCTTAATCGTGTCAGTCACGTTCTAGCGAAACACATGAAGTCTTTCCAGGCCCGGCTCTAGGGTGAAATGACTGAGGGGGCTGTTCAAAAATCCTAGGGGGCGACTTTTTTTTCACAACAATGAAAAATTCTGGCAATGTAAGGAATTGACACACCAAGTTTTTTTCATTCTCACTGCTCTACAATCTCTTTGCTTCTTTATTTGTATTCTGGATTGACCCCTCTCATTCTGTTCTTTTCCTCTGATCTTTAATAATAGATAGTACATTATTAGATGCGTGCACTTAGTTAGTCACGTTAACAGACTAACATTGATTTCCTCAATTTATAAATGGACAGGCTCTGTAATTATACCATAACCTTTTCTCCTCTATCCCTTAACTCGTCTTCCTATACAGATTTACTTACTTACTATCTACTCTAGTCAGGTCAGGATTAAAGACAAATTAATATTGTTGATTTTTTATTTTCAGGATTGAATGTTCAAACCAAGACCTAAAACCTGGCATTCCATAAGAAAGTGACTAATATATAAACCAAATGTAATATTGGATCAAATACTACACCAATTGGAGAGGCACAGGTAAAAAATCCGTCACTAGATGTCACTCATTGTACCAATACGGTTTATATAATAACATATTATATTATTATAGTAAAAGGGGCTCGCTTTGGCAAAAACCTGATCCATACAGGCAGCCCTAAATAATAACAGGTAAGCATCATGTGTGGTGCTATCTGTAGTTGTCTTATTTTTTGTCGATTTCATCTTGTTTTCACAGAGCTGTGGAAATGAATTTCCCCCTGGGGACAATAAATCTAATCTAAACTAATTTAATATTCAATCCCACACTTGGCGATTGAGAACATACATT